CGATGAGTTTACTTGACTCAACTAGAATTTTGTTGTGACGATGATACGTTGTTCTGATGATGTTCATCCAATGATGGACGAAAGCTTAGCAACTTTTCATCGGAATCGAAGAAGATCACCTCGGAAACAGCGTCAGCATGAATGTTCCAGTAAAGCCAATCGTAGCTGGTCAAGAGGAATCCGCCATCGTCTTCTGGTGGAACCGACCTTCGAATCTCTTCACCCAACACTTTTACTCCCATCATCAGGGCCCAATGAGCCAAGAGAAAGCCCTACCGAGACTGCGTAAGTCCGTAAGTAAGTATGATTGAGATAATGAGATATGAGCTTGTAAGCATGTAAGTCGAGTTACGAAATCACTTGTCCTAACCTCTCAGTCTAGAGTCAGTAACTTTTAACCCACCTAGCAAAGTCATGACTGGGGCTGCGTAATCTGGCACGTCTGGTTTGGTTGATAACTTTAATCTAACATGTTGGACGAGTGTGAGTGAAGTTGGAGCCATCACTGAGCAGACCAGTTGAGTGGCCATCTTTTGGATGGCGACTTTGCATCACCATTCCTCACAGCCAATTATTACTAATCTCTTAATTTCAATAGCCTCTGTTAACTTCCTTTCAACAGCAGACGTACAATAGTCAGCAAACCTACTCATCTGAGACCATTCTCTGACGTGTATTCGGCCACTTCTGACCGATGGACACAGCTTGTCTTGCAAGCATTTTTGTGTTCCCCCAATCTTTGTCGAATATGCCTTTTATGTCTCTTTTGGATTACTTGAGTCTATGTAAGTAGTATGATATAGCCGGATAGTATTTGCGTGAAACGAGGGAAGAGGCCTCGTGGACTGCATCAAATTGAACGTCGTATCAAAGCCAAACGGCTGCAGTGCAACTGGATTCATCCGTCCTCTTCCGGTAAGATCGACCTACGAATCTCTGCTTCATGCACTTTCATGCGAAATTAAAGTCTTCACAACAGTGTCATCTCGCGGTATTCATCATATCTACAAATTGGCTTCGTTCGAGGCCCGAGCCAGGCTTCCACGACTGCGCATTTGCTCGGTCCAATCGAGCAAGGCGAAGCGTTTTGTCTATCAACGCCCGGAGAATTCCGACAAGATGACTGGAGCGTGAACTGAACACGGACGCTGTTCCTGCGAGACGTCTTCCAGGGACTGTTGCGGCTCGAATCGCCTAACAACACGTTCTTGTCTGGACCCCGGGCAGATGCATTGAAGCGAAGTCTTGAAGGTGTCCTCTGCCTCTGCATTGCGTTTTGCTTGACGATCTCCGCTGGCTGGTTCCGACGCCATTGTTACTCGGTTCCATTTGCACACGAACAATGTCGACAGCTTCCATGCCGTTGTGGCATTGAGTTTGACGGTTTGAGTCGGCCAGTAGTCTCAAGACCGTCTAGAAATGATGACGTCTTTTGCACAATCGTTGCGAGTTGTCGAAATCATGCTCGAACTGCCGCATAAAGACCGAGACAATCGTCATATTCAGCACCACCGACCGGTCGGATGCACGCGATCGCCTACCAACGACCTTTCACGACTTGCCCTCTCGAGTGCGGCAGTACCTTCCAATTCGTTCGAAGCGGCAAATGAAAGCGATTCGTAAATCGGTCTCACCGGATTGCCTTGGAGCTGTGACTGTAGATTCATGCAAATAAGTCGCCCTGCGACCCCGATGAATGCTTAATAGACTTTTGTCCGTCGTATGATGGACATTGTCGGGGCAGAACGCCATGTTTTATGCGAATTCACCAGAACACGAAAATACGGAGGGCCGTGTGCCGAGGATCTATTCGTACAACTTTACAGTCACAACTCCAATTCAATCCCTTTACGCCTTCCAGAGAGGCCAAATCGCGAATGCTTTCCACTCGTCTCTTCAAGCGAACTAAAAGGTACTCAAACATCAATCTATGAGGGAGTCTTCTAAACTCGGCTTTTCTAAATACCTTCCTTCTTCGTGTCCGATAGGAGCCATTTCTACACCATTCGTCCGTGCATTGTGAGGCTTTCTTCCCCCTTTACATGCACGAGTTTTTTTTATTTGTCTTTTTTGTGACAATCTTCAGGCCTTATTCGCATTTCAGGTTATTGTATGATTTGGTGCTCATCTGGTAGTGTCTATGAGAGGACACTTGAAGACCGAGATATGAGAGATCACGAGAACACAAAGCCGTCTTCAGAGATTTATGGATTTAGAAATTAGAGGTGCCTGAACGTATGATAGCTACAGTAGGCCAGGTCGAATGGTCTGTATCTCAAAGTGGATATGGAGATGATGTGACCTCTACTTTGGTCGCAGTTTACCTTCGACGCAGAGTAGTGGTCTGGCCTCGTTCTCGCAACCTGGTCTTGTTGTCAGGGCAAACTAGCTAGATGCATGTTTTACAAAGTCCTCTGCTGTGCTATTTATGTTAGTTACCAGCGTTAGGCCATGGAGTTGGCATATTCGTAATCGACAGCGCCAGTGAGTTTTGCCATTCTTAGCCCCAAGCTTCAACTTGTCTCTGTGACGATATTTAGCTTAATGCTAAGAATGGCAAGTCTGACTGACGATGCCGACCAAACTTCTGGTTAATGTATCAAGTCGATGCTTCAACGCTGGCTATTATC